CCACCATGCTCAGCATGTATGTGTATATATATATGTAAAATTTTATTTATTAACTTTTATTCTATGTGATATTCTATTTTCTGCATATATGTAAGTACACCCATGTCATGCAATGCCTGCCTAGGTCAGAACAGAGTGTTGGATCGTCCTGGAACTGGAACTATGGATAGTTGTTAGCCCTTATGTGGGTACTAGGAATTGAACCTGGGTCCTCTAAGAGCAGCCAGTACTCTTAATGGCTGGACCATCTCTCCAGCCCTGGCTTATATATTTTTAATAGTATGTTATTACTATATTTGGTTGTTTAATTTACCCCTGCCTGATTTCTCTCACCCATGTTATTTTTATAAAGTATGAAAAATGAAACTGCCATACATGGTGGTGCATGCCTTTAATCCCAGCACTTGGGGGGCAGAAACAGGCAGATCTCTGAGATTGAGGCCATCCTGGTCTCCATAGTGAGTTTCAGGACAGCTGTAGCTACAAGGAGACCCTGTCTCAAAAAGACAAAAAAAATAAAAAAGAAAGAAAGAAAGAAAGAAAAAGAAAGAAAGAAAGAAAGAAAGAAAGAAAGAAAGAAAGAAAGAAAGAAAGAGAAAAATGAGTCTAAGAATAAACATTTGAGAGAGTGGTTGCACACGCATTTAATCCCAGCACTCAGGAGGCGAGGCAGGTGGATCTCTGTGAGTTCAAGGCCAGCCTGCTTTACTTTAATTCCAGGTCAGTTGGGGCTACAAGGAGACCCTGTCTCAAAAAGACCAAAAAAAAAAAAAATTTTTTTTTGTATTACATGTTTTTCTTATGTGAGTGTGTGTGGTAAGGGATGTTTTATGTATGCTATAGCATACATCTGGAGGGTCAGAGGACAGCTTGCAGGAGTCTGTCACCATGTGGTCCCAGGGATCAAATTCAAGTTGGCAGGCTTGGTGGCAAGCCCCTTAATCCATTGAGCCAGCTTATTGGCCCAAGAAAGATTTTATATATGTTTTTGGTGGTGGTGGTGGTGTTTTTTTTTTTTGGTTTTATTTTTTTGGTCTTGTTGAGACAGGGTCTCCCTGTAGCCCCTCCTGCCCTGGAATTCCCTTTGTAACCCAGGCTGTCCTTGAACTCAAGGAGATCTGCCTGCCTCTGCCTCCCAAGTGCTGGGACTAAAGGCGTGTGCCACCACACCTGGCAAGATATATATATATTTTTTATTCTTTTTAATTCTGTGTGTGTCTATGTGTTTGTATATGGGTATATGCATGTGAATGCAGGTGCCTACAGAGGCCAGAGCTTCAGATTCCTCTGGATTTGGAATGTAAGGCAGTTGAGAGCTCCCATATCAAGTGGCTCACAGTTGCCTGGAACTCCAGCTCCAGGGTAAAGCAATGCCTCTGAATACCTGTACTCATGCAACACATGATTTGTCGTATTGTTTTATTTTGGGAGGGGGTTGTCTTTTTTTTTTTGGTCTTTCTGAGGCAGGGCCTTCCTGTAGCCCCGCTGGCCTGGAACTCTGTATGTAGACCAAGCTGGCCTCAATTTCCCAGAGATCTGCCTGCCTCTGCCTTCCTGAGTGCTGAGATTAAAGAGGTGCCGCCATATCCGGCCTCCGTAATTTTTTTTAATTTTATGTGCATGACTGTTTTGCCTGCATGTAAGTGAACTACATAGTGAGTTCCAGGACAAGCGTAGGCTATAGATTGAAACCCTATTTCAGGAAGAAAAAGAAAAAAGCCAAAATTTAAATTTTTATGTCAATTCTCTATTTTATTATTTTAAAATATTTTATTATTTTATGTGTATTAGTGTATTGCCTGCATGTGTCTAAGTGTACCTGTGTCATGCAGTGCCTGTGGAGGTCAGAAGAGGCCAATCCCCTGGAACTGGAGTTAGTTGTTAGCTGCCATGTGGGTGCTGGGAACTGATTCCGGGTCCTCTGCAAGAGTAGCCAGTGCTCTTAATTGCTGAGCCCCTATTATATTCTTATACTTCTTTTTTTTTCAATATTCATTATTTTTGTTTTATGTATATGCATGTATTGCCTGCATGTATGTAAGTGCACCTGTGTCATGCAGTGCCCAAGGAGGACAGAAGAGGCCTGGATCCCTTGGAACTGGAGTTACGGAAAGTTGTTAGCTGCCATGTGGGTGCTGGGATTCAAACCTGGCTCTTCTGCAAGAACAGTCACTGTTCTTAACTGCTGAGTCATCTCTCCAGCCCCTTTATATATAATTCTAAGAAAGGGTATAAACCGCTTCCTGATTATAATTTTGTTTTCATTTTTTAAAACACTCAAGTATTAGCTGGGTGTGGTGGCGCACGCTTTAATCCCAGCACTTGGGAGGCAGAGGCAGGCAGATCTTTGTGAGTTCAAGGCCAGCCTGGTCTGTATAGTGAGTTCAGGTCAGCTGGGACTACAGGGAGACCCTGTCTCAAAAAGACAAAAAAAAACAAAAAACCACTCAAGTATTTACCTTTATTAAAGGCCTTGTTTCAAATTGATCATCCTGACTGTGGTCTTAACCTTGAGTGTCCGCTGGGAATTAGAAAACGGGTGAGAAGAAAAGACAGAGTAAAAAGCAGCAAACGCCATGGGCCACCCTCATTGGCCCCCATCTCCCCACACTCACTCTTCTGTCTGGGTCCTGGTGGTGCTGCAGGCAAATTGACTTCTCCCTTGTCCCCTTTCCCACCGTTTAAGTCCAGGTCATCTGTTACCTCGGCGGTTCTTATCCATCGCATCTTCCCTCTGATCCAACTTTCCCCTTTCAGTTCCTTCTATAGGAAGTTCCAACCTGTCTTTCCAAACCAACAGTATTTAAGTCCTTGAGCCATCTGCAGAAGCGATCAGGATGAGGGACCGCTCATCCTGACTCAGCCCACAACTGTATTTTATTTAATCTATATACTATTTATTTCACAGAGCCAACATTTAACAGTAAAAAAATTGTCATAGGCGCTGGAGAAATGGCTCAGTGGTTAAGAGCACTGACTGCCTTTGCAGAGAGGACCTGGGTTCCGTTCCCAGAACTCACATGGCAGCTAACAACCATCTGTCACTCCAGTTCTAGGGGATCTGACACCCTACTCTGGCCTCTGTGGGCATTGCACCATATGAGGGTACGTGCAGGCAAAACACTATATACATAAAATAAATTTAAAAAGAGTTTTGACGAGGCTGGAGAGATGGCTCAGCAGTTAAGAGCACTGACTGCTCTTACAGAGGACCTGGGTTTGTTTGATTCCCAGCACCCACATGGCGGCTGGGAACCGTCCTTAGCTCCAGTTCCAGGGGAATCCGATGCCCTCTTCTGACCTCTGTGGCATTGCACGACACATAAAATAAAAATAATAAATAAAATATTTTAAAAAAAGATTTGACATAAAAATCTGAATTTTGAATTTTTTCTTTTTCTTCCTAAAATAGGGTTTCAGCCTAGGCTGTCCTGGAACTCACTGTGTAGCACAGGCTAATTTTGAGCTGGAGGTTGTCCTATTGTCTACCTTCTCCAGTAACTATAGGGTTGAATCACCATGCCCAGTGGCTTCCTGGTTTGTTTGGGTTTTTTTATTTTTATTTTATTTTTTATTTTTTTGTCTTTTTGAGACAATCTCCCTGTAGCCCCAGCTGGCCTGGAACTCACTATATAGACCATGATGGCCTTGAGCTCGGAGATCCACCTGCCTCTGCTGGGATTAAAAGCCTGTGACACCATGCCTGGCTTTGGCTTCCTGGTTTTTAAGAAACAGGAAGATCAGCAGCCCTGGGCCGACCATTCAGCTGGGCAGATAGCTGTTCCCTACTTCTGTGCAGCCAGGGACTCTTAAAGGACACACTGCCCCAGGGTGTGCAAGCTGGCCTCTTCCCCACTCCCTCCACAGCCTGTGGGGTGTCTACCCTGACAGTTGCCCACAAAGGCTGGCTGCCACCAGATTCTGCCCTCTCTTCACTAAACCATTCCTAGTCATCCCCTCCCCAGTGCCTTTTTAATGCATGTGATAGATCTCCAGTGCTACATCAGTGGAAGGCTAGAAGACAGAACAACAGCCCCTCTCAAAAGCACTAGCCCTGGAGGGCCTATTCCTGGGCTGTTTCTGGAGCTCAGTGTTTGTTGGGGTGGGGTGTAGGGGGAGGGTTGTTTCTTTAAGAGAAGCAGTCTTGTTCTCTAGCCCAGGCTGGCCTCAAACTCCTGGGCTCAAGTGATCATTCTGCCTCAATGTCCTAAGTAGCTGGAGCTACAACATACATGCCATCAGGCTTGGTGGGAATTTCTTTTCTCTTCATGCATGCCAGGCAGGGCTCAACCTCAGAGCTGCACCCCCAGCCATGGCTTCCTGGCATTCAGAGTTGCTATTTCTTTGTCCAAAAATGTACTGTTCATTTTCTCAGTGGCTCTCTTTCTTGCCAACTTGTCATTTGGCATTTAAACTTCCCCTTTTTAAATTATTACATTGTGTACATTTGAATGTGTGTGTGCACATGTGTGGTCAGAGGACAGCTTTTGGGAATCGGTTCTCTCTGTCTACCTTCACATCTGTCCCAGGGATGGAACTCAGGTTCATCAGGCTGAGCCATTTCCCATATCCCTTTGCAAACTCCTTTAGGCAGCAGAGCATGTTGGGGCACACTTATAATCCCAGCACTCAGAAAGCAGAGGCAGAGAATCACCATATGTTCAAAGCTAGCCTTGTTTATGTAGCAGGTTCCATCCAGCCAAGTCTATGTAGTAAGACCCTCTCAGAAAAGCTAAACCAAAACCTGAGCTGATTCAGGAAAGTGAATTCTGTTTCTGCGCCTCTTTACTGTTTGGTATATACTCCACCACCACCTACTGAAGCACGTAGAACGTGTTATCAGATATAAGCAGGTTGAGGGCAAAGACTGTGCCTTATCTATCTGTACAGGCCTAACGCATCAAGGTACCCCATAAAGGTTGTAGATGGGGCTGCAGCTCAGTGTTAGGCCCTGGCTTCCATATCCAGCTCACCTCCCCCCTCTAGAAGCCCTGTTGGATCAAGTATGTAATGATGACATGCTAAACATTGTTTCACTTTTCAAAAGTCCCACCAGGAAAAGCTCAGTTTGGGGATAATGACAGTAGTGGTTGAGCATAACGAAGAATTCGTGTCTCTAAAATGATTAGTTTGTGTTGGTAAGAGGTGCTTTTTTTTTTTTTTTTTTTTAAAGTTTTGGGGGTGGTTTTTTGTAGCGCTGGCTGGCCTGGAACTTGCTATGTAGACCAGGGTGGTCTTGAACTCACCAATGATCCACCTACCTCTGCCTCCCAAGTACTAGGATTAAAGGCATGTGCCACCATGCCCGGCTAACAGATGCTTCTTATACAGCTCAGTGCTGGTTCTTTGTCACATGATTCCTAGCCTTCTCTAAGTTTCCCAGCCCAGGCAGTCATGTTATGTTTCTTGCTTTGTCCACAGAGGGCTGGTTTTTAAGTTTGGCCGCACCGAGGACTTATGGCAGTGAAGATGAGGGGTTGCTGGAGCACGACTGCCCTACATGGAGGTTTTTTTTTTTTTTGGTTTTTTGGTTTTTTGGTTTTTTTTTTAAACTGCTCACCCTCAGTCTTTTGTAATGCTGTTTTCTAAACTTATTTCTGAGTGTAATCTCAGCTTAAAGACGTGTAATGCTAAAATCGTGAGAACTCACTATGTAAACAGCAACACAATCCAGCGTGGCATACAGTTGATCAACTTCTACAGCATTAAAGGAAACTTTGCAAGAGTCACTCCGTCAGGTTCTATCATGGTCTAAAGAATCGATTACAAAGAAATAGTCATTGGGATGAGGATTTGCTCCTCCGTCCAATGTTGACTAAGCTCAGCCTCTTCTGTGTCTGATATTGAATGATGTATGAACATTTTCTTGTTATTAAAAACTATTCAGTGGACAAAGTTCTTTTTCATTATGCTTTGTGTTTGGTTTGTATGATTCTACCAAAAAGTTCTGTGAGTATTTCAGTGCAAGCAGTATTTGAAGGCTTCCAGAGAGAGTGCTTGTGCCTGAAGAGAAGCCCAGGCCAGCACCAGGCTCCTGACCCTTCTATGGCCAGCTCCATTGTACCAATAATTCCAGGGTAAGATTTGACCAGCTGGGACACAGGGTGCTAGTGGGACACAGGTGGTTTACCTCACATTTGCCATGGAGGAAAGGCAGAAAGGAACAGACTCAACACCTAGTATCTCAGGTGACATAAGGTTTTTTTGTTTTGATAGTGAATTGGATTCAGCATTTCATTTCCCCCTGAACAGAACCCCTAAACTGAACAGTCCAGCAAGGTTGTTTTCACTACACATAGGGGCTATCAGTAGGAACTCTTGTCGTTACCCCCTCCCCACCCTGCACCCCCAGCTGGTAAAATAAGAGTAGATGTTCCTCAGAATGACAGCTTAAAATGCTGTTCCCCATCAGATGACCTAGAGCTGGCCTTCCAAGAGACATGAACAGTGCCTTAGATGATTTAAATGTGTGGGCCCTTCCATGCCGTGAGTTTGAATATTGTTGACTCATCAAGACACACAAAAAGGACCGCTTTGCTCTTGTCCCCTGTGAAATCCCAGACAACAGATACTAGGGTGGCATGTCTCAGAAGTGATCTTAAGAACTTGAGATCGTGCATCCCTATCCCACAACTGACCCCACAATCTGCCCAGAGAGTGCTGAGGGCCTTATGAGGATTGAAAGCCTTATTTCCCTATTGCATACTGCCACCTCCACAGCTGTGGCCAGGTGTTTACCCGAGTAGCAACCTTATAAACCATGAGAAAACAGAATTGGACCGAAACCTTAGTAATGCATCTGCAATCAGCAATATTAACAAGTGTCTTTCATGAAACCAAACGTAAAACTTAAATGACCATTTAGGTGTTTTCAGCCTTTTAATACCAGATTTACATAGGAACAGTGCTGTAATGCGCTTACATCACGAGAGGAGACCATGGAGGTTTCTTTCCACGCTCCACTTCATTCCCAGGTGCTTTTGCTTAAAATCCAGTAGCCAAGTGAGGGAACTGTGAAAGGGAAGCACAGCTTTTTACTACAGAGGAACCCTTGTTCTCTGGGAAAAAAACATTTATGGGAAGGCATGTGTCTGTGTTTCTGTATGTATGTATGTGCATGCAGAGGCCAGAAGAGGGCATTGGATCCCTTATAGCTGAAATTACAGATGATCGTGTACTGAGATCCGAACCCTGGTCCTCATAATTGAGCAGCCAGTGCTATTAACTGATGAGCCATCTCTTCAACCCCTTTGAAAGTTTCCAGCTTGATCTTTTTGTTGTCCTTTAAAATTTTTCTCTTTTTACGTGTTTGAGTGTTTTGCCTGCTTTTATGTAAGTGTACCAGGTGCATGCAATGCCCATGGAGGCCAGAAGAGGGTGTCAGATCTCAAACTGGAGTTTATGGACAGTTGTTAGCAGCTATGCGGGTGCTGGAAACTGAACCCAGGTCTTCTGCAAGAGCAGCCAGTGCTCTTAACTGCTGAACCATCTCCAGTCCCTCTCTTGATCTTTTGAAACTTACCATAATCTAAACATCTCACCTCAAATAGCAGAGAGGTTCGTTTTCAAAATCTGAATTAGAAGAGGTTTGTTTGTTTGTTTAGTTGGTTGGTTGGTTTTGGTCTTTTTGAGACAGGGTCTCCCTGTAGCCCCAGCTGTCATGGAACTCACTATGTAGACCAGGCTGGCCTTTGAATTCACAGAGATTCGCAAGGCATGCGCTAGCACGCCTGGCCTTAGAAGAGATTTTAAATCTAACCTTTCTTTCTCTTTCTGTCTTTTTGTTTGTATCTTTTCATTTTATTTATGTGTATGTATGTATCTGCTTGTGTGTATGTATACCATGTGTTCAGTACTCCTGGAGGCCAGAAGAGGTTGTTGGAACCCCTGGAACTGGGGTTACAGGCAGTTGTGAGCCACCCAGTATGGGTGCCGTGGACTGAACCTGAGTCCCCTGTGAGAGTAGTCACCAGTATTCCTAACAACTGAGCCATCTCTCCAGCCCTTTCTATTTGGAGACAAAGGTCTTGGTATGTAGCCCAAGTTATCCTTGAACCTGCTATCTTCCAGCCTTAGCTTTCAATTGCTGAGCTTACACACATGAACCACCGCCATCTCCGTGTAGTTCTTTTCATGATGCATTGACAGGCATCTGACTTGAATACCTCCTGTGACAAGGAGCTCACTACTCCCTCATGCATTAGCTCATTCCATTTTGCAGCAGTTCGATTTGTTAGCATGCACACTGCATCTCCCAGACCTAGTGAAATTCTGTGAAGCAACACAGGGAAAATAGCCTCCTCTTCTGTGCAGTTGTGTTTCACGTGTTTGGAATGAGTTCATGGGTCTCCCTTGGGTCGTGTCTTCTGCAGGCTGAATATATCCTGAGGGTTTTGTTGTTTGAGTCTGTGGCATACTACAGACTGTCATGCAATGTCACTGGATCTTGAGTAGCTATGGATCAAAAGAATCCTGGGGCTGGAGGTTTGGAGCTAACAGTGTTTTCTGTGTCTCAGTTGGGGTGCTCATCTCACAAACATAGGCTCCTCTAGACCCTCCCCTGCTGTGGGGGAGAGTTCTAGTGTCTGTTTTTCAGAGATGGGAAGCTGGGGTTGTGTGAGGCCACAGGGTTGAAAGTGGGAGAAACCTGGTGGGGTCCACAGCACATGCTGTCAAAACGAAATGTTCAGTTTCATTGTATAGTAGGAAAAAACACCCCAGAAATGAAGGTGCCCTGCCCAGGGGCTGAAGCAGAGGAGTTAGGCGTGGAATTCAGATCTCCCCACAGAACAGTGCTCCTTCACCAAGGCTCGCTGAGACTGACAAACTGCTAGTGGACTCTGCGTCAGTTTCACTTCTTTACAGGCTGCTCAGACATAAGTGAGATGGGTGGGGCATGGTGGCACACATCCTTAATCCCAGCACTCTGCGGGCAGAGGCAGGCAGCGCTCTGAGTTCGAGGCCAGCCTGGTCTACACAGTGAGTTCCAGACCAGCTGGAGCTATACAGGGAGACGGTTTCTCAAAAATGAATAAATAAACAAAAGCCATACACAAAAACACTGCACTATGGCTAAAGTCTGGGCTTCCTGTTCCAGGTGCACACTTTGTTTCACCTGATGTTGCAGTGGCTGGGGTCAGGGGCCCTTGGATTTTCTTTATTTATTCAGCAGTTATTGCAGCCCAAACAGGTGAGCTGGATATGTGTCCTGTTTGTGGTTGACAAGTGCGGCATTTGATATATAGTCATTGTTCAATAAACACTTGTGGAGTGAATGAGTGGATTAAGCTACCTTTCTAATTCCTTCACTGACTCCCCCAGCTGCTGATAGAGGGGTACGAACACTTGCAGGGGACTGGGAGAGACTGGCTGTGGACGCCAAAAACCCATTGCTGTGCAGAGAAGCTGGCACAAGATGAGGCGGGCCACAGAGTACAGACAGCATGGTTGATTCTCAGAATAACTGTGGAGTAGAGGAGGCCCAAGAAGAGTGGGGCTGTGTGATTCCAGCCAGGCAAAAGTACAGAAAGCCTCAGTCACAGGAGAGTTCAGCGGCTGCCTGGGGTGAGCCTGAGAGAGGTAGGAAAGGAGAATTTCAGAGGGGCTCAGGAACCTTTGGGAGTGGTGGGTATAGAAACAGGTTAAACATATCCAGTTGTATACTTTAAAATTTTTTTTGAGATAGGGTCTTAGTCTAGCTCAGACTGCCTCAAACTCAGAGCAATCCTCCCACCTGAGCCTCCAAGCATTGGGATTAAAGATGTGTGCCACCACACCCAGCCTCCCCTTATATGCTTTTAAGTGGTGCAGTTCATCACATGCCAGTTAGACTTGGATAAAGCTGTTGGAAGGGGAAGAGGAAGAAGAGGTACTTCCTTCCACATTTCCTGCTGCTGGGCATGTGTGCCCAGGCCCATAACAGGGCTACTTCTCTCCCCTTTGTGGTCAGAGTCTTGGATGCTGGCTAGTAAAAAGGCCTGGCCTAGGACTTAGTCCCAAATGGAAGCTCTGTCATTCCTGATTGACTTCATTAAAATTCTGTAGACAGAATTACAGTAAGGCTCTCCACAGGACTGAGGTCACACTGAGCAGTATCCAATGGGTGTGTATCTGATGCCCAACCCCAAGATGGAATAGAAGGACCAGGGCACAGCTGGGTAAGGTGAGCACACACCTGTAACCCCAGCACTCAGGAGGTGGAGGCAGAAGCAGAAGGATCACCAATCAGAAGCCACTAGGCTTTAGTGAGACCCTGAAAGGAGGGAGGGAGACCCTAGACTCCTACACTGCCAACTTCCTGTCACTAGCTGTAAGTCATCAGGAGTTGTGCTCTAGGGGCTGGAGATATGGCTCAGTGGTTAAGGATACTTGCTGTTCTTCCAGAGGACCTGGGTTGTGTTCCCAGCACCCACATGGCAGCAGCTAACAACCATCTGTAACTACAGGTCCAGGGGACCAGACGCCCCTCTACTGACTTCCATTGGCACTGCATGACACAGGTACACTTACATCCGTGCAGAAAATACACTCATACACATAAGATAAAAATCCATTTTTGGGGGGGTCTTTTTAAAGTAGGGTCTCTCTGTAAGCCCCAGCTGTCCTGGAACTCACTATGTAGACCAGGCTGGCCTTGAACTCACAGAGATCTGCCTGTCTCTGCCTCCCAAGTGCTGGGACTACAGGTGTGCACCACCATGCCCGGCTAAAAATCAATTTTTAAAAAGAGTTGTGAGGCTGCAGAAATGGCTTAGCGGTTAGGAGCACTGATTGCTCTTTCAGAGGACCTGGGTTCGATTCCCAGCACCCACATGGCGGCTATGAACCGTCCTTAACTCCAGTTCCAGGGGAATCCGATGCCCTCTTCTGACCTCTGCAGCATCGCATGACACGGGTGCACTCATATATGCAGGCAATACACTCATACACATAAAATAAAAATAATAAAAAGAATTTTTTTAAAGTTGTGTGCTAGATAGCTGTGCGGTGGCTCACTGTGAGACCTTGGACAAGCCATGTCCCCACTCCAAGCATCTCTCATGTAGGGGTTGAACTTACAGCCCAGAGGTTTCTCCTGCTCTTACACTGCACAGTTCTGTTGTCCTCCTGCCAAACTATTTGCTCACATTGATGACCCTAGAGGGGAATGGGAGAATGGCCACCAACACACTTCTCACCAACCATGAATGATCTTGAGGCCTTAGGGAAATGGTAACTTTTACCAGCTTCTTAGGAAACATGCATACACCTGCATACAGGCACACACATGCACACACTCACATGTGCACACACATGTGCTATGGACTTACATATATACCCAATCATCTCAAGTTTGTACATTCAGAGTCTATCCTGTCGGGCTCACACAATAGCTCAGTGGGTTAAAGCACTTACTCCCGCAAGCCTGATGGGCTTGAGTTTTCTGAGTTTGATCCCTGGATCTCATGATGGAAGGAAAGAATCAACTCCCAAGGGTTGCCCTCTGATCTCCACACACATGCCATGACACTCATGTGACACCCCCAATAATGAATAAAATAAATAAAAACTTTTTAAAAAATCTACCATGTTAATAGCTTAGAAATCTTACCTCCCAGAAAGTTTGATCATCAAAATATTTGGCTGCGTGAGGCGCTTTCCATATTTTGACATTTAGGAGCAAACCTTAAACAAACGATAATTAAATGGTAAAACGTTCAGAGCACATTTGTTACCTCAAGATTAATGAAAATATTGTATGTAGGCTCCAGTATCTCAACAGAAACTTTCTTCTATCATGGAGACACTCGTTTGGATCAGCTTTGTTAATACTGTAGCCATTAAGCAACTGGTGAAGCAAGGCTCTTACGGGACTCGGGCCACACTGAGCAGTATCTGCTGGTGTGGATCTCACCCATCTCCAAGACGGGACAGAAGGGCCCTGGCATGGCTGGGTGAGGTGAGTGCACATCTGTAACCCCAGCAGTTAGGAGGCAAAGGCAGAAGGACCACTGGTCAGAGGCCACTTGACTTTATAGCGAGACTCTGGATGGAGGGAGGGAGGGAAGGAGGAAAGAAAAAAGAAGAGGAGGGAGGCGTGGTGGATCCATTTCAAGCACAAGAGCTACTACTGTGGAGAGCGACCCCCTTGAGGCTTGCCCACCTTTCTCTGCCTCCGGAGTAGCTAGACCCACGGGTACAGCTCACCATACCTGACTGTGTATAGGTGTATAGTTGTGCACACCTGAGTGTAAGTGTAGAAGAGAGGGGGTACTGGGTGTCCTTTTCTATCTCTCCACCTATTCCCTTGAGGCAGGGTCTCCCCCTCACAGTTGGAGTTACAGGCATCCGTGGGACACCTGGCTTGTTATGTGGGTGCCGGTATCTGAATTTCAGTCCTGATGACTGGGCAGTGAGCGCTCTTAACTCCTGAGCCATCTCTTCAGCTGCTATTACTTTCTTGGTCTTTTTGAGACAGGGTCTCCCTGTAGCCCCAGCTGGCCTGGAACTAGCTATGTAGACCAGGCTGGCCTTGAACTCACAGAGATCCACCTGCCTCTGGCTCCCGAGTTCTGGGATTAAAGGTGTGCGCCACCACATCTGGCATCAGCTGCTATTACCCACCACGTCCGGCATCAGCTGCTATTACCCACCACGTCTGGCATCAGCTGGTATTACTTTTAATGAGAATTGGTTCCACAGTATTAAATGATAGGAGTAACCCAAGTGTGCGTGTGCTTCGTGGATTCTTATCTTCCTCTCATGACGCATGTCTTAACTAGCTTGTTGATGCAACCAAGCACACCTAAGGTAGCTGAGATTACACAAATTATCTGTCACCTGAGTGGATTTTCCAGTTTCTTGGTTTTTTCATTATTGATGAAAATCCATTTTTATGGATTTCATGTTTTTTGAAACATGAAATCTTCATGTTTTATGAGACAACACTGAACTTATTTTGAGGCTTTTTTTAAAAAATCAGGACCACCACTAGAAATGTTAGCTTACAAAATGAGCCATGTGACATGGGGAAGATCTACACCTGTTCAAAGCCATTGATCTATTATTTCAACAGCCCCAGACATTCCAGTGTTTGTTTTGTTGGGTTATTTTGCCTTGTTTTTGTTGTTGTTGAGTTTTCCTTTTGTTGTTTTGAAACAGTCTCACTATATAGCTCAGGCTGGCCTGGTACTTGCTATGTAGACCAAGCTGGCCTTGAACTCACAGAGATTCACCTCCCTCTGCCTCCTGAATGCTGGGACTACAGGTGTGTGCCACCACTCCTGACCTGATTCTTTTTTTTTTTTTTTTTTTTTAGGTCTTTTTTGAGACAGGGTCTCCTTGTAGCCCCAGCTGTCCTGGAACTTGCTATGTAGACCAGGCTGGCCTTGAACTCACAGAGATTTGCCTGCCTCTGCCTCCTGAGTGCTGGGATTAAAGGGATTCTTGGATTTGCAAAATCAACATTGAGCCTCTTGCTTCACTGAGATGGAGCTGAGAGGTTGGTCACTCCAAGGGGAAGGGATCAAGCACATTTCCTTTTCCACCCAGCCACAGGGTAGGGCATGGTCTAAAAGAAAGGGTCATGTTATACTGACCTGTCACAAGACCAGATATCATCCCCATGGCCATAGCAAAGCTCAGAGCCCCAGTGTCACTGAATATCTGGCTGCTGACCCTAGAAAGGACAGAGCAGAAGAGCCACAAGACATCAGGCTGCGATCACCTGGGACAAGGAGACAGCTGGCGTCAGTGGTGTCCCTGATAGAAGGGCCATGAAGGGACCAAGTATCATCTCCCCAGCTGGCACATCCCTGTCATTTCCCTGTAGAGCCACAATGTGGCTGGAACAGGATGAGGGGTTCCATTACCCTCTTTGTCACATTAAAATCCTCAGATCCTGGGGTTAGAGAGATGGCTCAGGGTTTAAGAGTCCTAGCTGCTCTTGCAGAGGACCCAGGTTCAATTCCCAGCACCCACATGGTGGTTAACAACCTCCAGTAACTCCAGTTTCAGGGGAGCTGATGCCCTCTTCTGACCTCTGTGGGCATTGCATGACATGGGTACACTTACATATATGCAGTCAATATTCTCGTACACATAAAATTAATAAAATATTTTTTAAAACTCCTCAAGCCGGGCATGGTAGCACACGCCTGTAGTCCCAGCACTTGGGAGGCAGAGACAGGCAGATCTCAGTGAGTTCAAGGCCAGCCTGGTCTACACAGTGAGTTCCAGGACAGCTGGGGCTACAGGGAGACCCTGCTTCAAAAAGACAAAATAAAATAAAATAAATAATAAATAAATAAATAAAACTCCTCAGACTCCATGGTTCAGCCTCAGCCTGGTCCCACTGGCCCTTCGGTGTAGCACTATAGACAGTGAGCCATGTTGATCAACCCAATTTTTGCTTTGTTTTTGTTTCTTTAGATAGGGTCTTACTTAGCCCAGGCTAGCTTCATATTTGCTTTGTAGTAGAGGATGACCTGCAACTCCCAATCTTCCTGTCTCTGAGACAGGTGCTGAGATTACAGGTGTGTGCCACCACACCCAGTTTATGTGGTGCTGAGGATGGAACCCAGAGCTTAGTGCATGCTAGACAAGCACTCTACCAACCGAGCTACATCGCCAGCCCAGGTCAAGCCAGTTTTGAAGCTGCTTCTGTTTCTCGTTCAACTCTCCACAGGCAAGTAAGAACACAGAGTCCAGCTCAGAGCCTGCCGGAGTACCATGCATGGTTACATCCACGTGCCAGTTACAGACATGCACAATGAGGACTCACCTTGTGTGTACACCACCCTGTGATAAAACTCCCTTTACTCAGTCTCCTCTCTGAACTCTTTGACAATGCCAAGAATCTGGGGATACCAGCTACAGTCTCTCCTCTCTCTCTCTCTCTCCCCCCCCACTCCTCTCACCTCTCCAGCCTTCACCATCAGCCACATTAAGGGTTTCAAGACCACTCATGACTCCAGGGTGCAAACTCTTACCCTGACTTCAACCACCATGGCTGCAAAAGTGTCCCAGTGGGTTTGAACCTGTCTGACCTGCTCTGTCTACATTTGTGGGGTCTCAAGACTGAGTACCTCTGCCCTGCTCCTAAGCTGCCCCTTTAGGGAAGAAAGGGGCTGGAAAACTGACAGTTCCATTGCAAGCAGAAGTTAGGAAGAATTTTTGAAGCTGGGTGTGGTGGCTCACACCTGTAATCTAAGACTCAGGAGGCTGAGGCTGGAGTGAGTTACACATCAGCTTGAGCTACAGTGTAAAACCCTGTCTTAAAAAATATTTTTTTGCAGGGCATGGTAGCACACACCTGTAGTTCCAGCACTTGGGAGGGGGAGGCAGGCGGATCTCTGTGAGTTCAAGGTCAGCCCGGTCTACATAGTGAGTTCCTGGACAGCTGGGGCTACAGGGAGACCCTGCTTCAAAAAGACTGAAAAAAAAAATTTTCTTTTCTGAATAAATTGGCAGCAGGGCTCTGGGCACCTTTTACCCTGAGTTGGATGGGGATAAGGGGAAGAAGTTGGGTGACCCACATGAGCATCGGGTAGATGTTCTGTGTGGCCGTCAGCAGAATGTAGGTGGCTGCTCCCAGCAGACCCGGAAAGCCGAAGGTGTAGTGCACCCCACTGGGGACTTGACTCGTCAGCGTTTGTTTCAAACACACCTGGGGACAAAAGGGCACCATAAGCAGATCTGCAAGTGAGACCCATATTCCATCCCTGCCCTTTCCACAGGTTCTTGACATCCAGGGCCAGCAAAGGGGGTGACATCACTTAAAGAAGTCTTTCTCAGACCTGAAGGTGCATTCACATCCCCTGGGAAATGTTTAAAATGCAGAGGAGGGAAGGGGAATGCGGGTCAGTGGAAAATGCTTGCCTAAAAAATGCAAGGGTCTGGAGGGACTCACAGGACCACAAACACACCCCACACACCCCCAACACAGATACACAACACAGATTCAGACAGATACACTACACACATATACGTACACACAGATACAGACACACATGCACATACACACAGATACAGACACACACACATATAGATACATAGATACAGGCACAGACAGATACAGACACACACTACCCCCAACACAGATACACAACACAGATTCAGACAGATACACCACACACATATACGTACACACAGATACAGACACACATGCACATACACGCAGATACAGACACACACATATAGATACATAGATACAGGCACAGACAGATACAGACACACACACAGATACACAGATACAGGCAACACACACATAGAGACAGACAGACACACACACACACAGATGCAGACACACAGAGACTCAGAAAGTACAGATTGACTCAGTGGGTAGAGGTACTTGCTGAGCAAACCTGATGACCTGAATTTGATCCTGGGAACCCATGTAAAGGTGGAAGGTAAGAACCGACTCCACCAAGTCCTTCTCTGACTTTCACACATGCAAATGGTGAGGAGGTAAAAGCTAGCTTTACTTCTGACAAGTAAATAGATAATGAAGATGTTGCACATTTGCCTTCTTCTACCTGAGAAAAAGTCCTGGTAAACCTTTTCTCCCACTGGCAAGGTCGCCCTCCAGCTGACTAGTTTAGACCAGTTAAGACCAAGGCCAGTCCTGGATGTATCTCAGCTTGGAGCTGTAGCCTGTCTGCTCTATCTTCTTTGTTGAAGTTGACATCCAAAATTAGGGGAGAGGAACCCCACACACACACACACATATACAGAAAACCCTTAAAAGGCCCAAGTCCTACTAGGGGCTTTGGATTTTTTGATTTCCAAGTCCCCTCTTCACTAACACTAAGCCATATACTGAGCAAGACATTAAAGTCTTTTGCTCTAGTAGCTCTAAATCTTTGGTGTTTTTTTGTTTGTTTGTTTTGTTTGTTTTTTTCTTTGTTTTTGGGTCTTTTTGAGACAGGGTCTCTCTGTAGCCTCAGCTGTCCTAGAACTCCCTATGTAGACGAGGCTGGCCTTGAACTCACAGAGATCCGCCTGCCTCTGCCTCCTGAGTGCTAGGATTAAAGGAATATGCCACCACACCTGGCCTTTTTTTTCTCTTTTTAAATTTATTTTTATGTATATGAGTGTTTTGCCTGCATGTATGTAAGTGTACTATGTGCATGTAATGCCTGTGGAAACCAGAAGAGGGCATGGGATCCTTTATGGATGCTTCTTAGTGTAGGCGCTGGGAACCAAACACAGTCCTCTCTGCAAGAGCAACCAGTGTTCTTAACCACTGAGCCATCTCTCCAATCCCATTTTATTTTAAATTATGTGCATACATATGTGTCTGTGTGGAAGTATATGCATGTGAGTGCAGGTGGCTACAGAGGCCAGAAGAGGGCATCAGATCCCTTTGAGCTGGAGTTACAGGCAGTTGTGAGCTGCTGGATATAGGTGCTGGGAACTGAATTCAGGTCCTCTGTGAGAACAGTATGTGCTCTTAACCACTGAGACATCTCTCCAGTCTCCTGCCTTTTAATTCTTGAATTAGAGTCAGTAACAATAGCATGTTACACACCCATACAGACATACACAATAGAGCTGGGTATAGTGGCCCACGCCTTTAATCCCAGCACTTGGGAGGCAGAAGCAGATGGATCTCTGTGAGTTCAAGGCCAGCTTGGTCTACATAGTGAGTTCCAGGCCAGCTGGGGCTACTGGGAAACCCTGTCTCAAAAATACAAAAATACAAAAAACAACCCCCCACAAAAACAAAAATATATGCATAATAATAAAATTAGAAAAAACTTTTAAATTTATTTTTATTTTATGTGTATGAGTGTTATGCCTGCATGTACTTAAATGCACCCATGTTGTACAATGCCTGAGGAATACAGAAGATGGCATAGCATGCCCCGGAACTAGAGTTACAGATGGTTGTTAGCCACCATGTGGATGCTGGGATTCAAACCTCAGTCTTCTGCAAGAACAGCCAATGCTCTTAACAGCTGAGTCATCTCTCTAGCCCTTAAAAACATCTCTCCAGCCCTTAAAAACTATTTTTTTTTGTCTTTCTGAAGCAGGGTCTCCCTGTAGCCCCAGCTGTCTCACTATGTAGACCAGGCTGGCCTTGAACTCACGGAGATCTGCCTGCCTCTGCCTCCCAAGTGCTGGGACTACAGCTAAAAACTCTTTTTAACTAAAAAAAAGAAAGACCCAGGGTATAAACAAAATTTACTAGACCTAAGAAGCAAAAGAAATTTACAAGAATTACAAGGCAATTCCCCAAGATTATACAAAAAGTAACAATTTGCTGGAAAAAGAGACTCCTCTACTAACTGAGCCTCCTGAAGGAAACTTCCAGAGATGCAACTCTGGGGAGTTGTCACCATGCTGGGTTGGCTTTTTGGTGATTCAGTTGCTTTTGAATCACCCATGCCCTAGTAATTGACCCTAATAAATTTATTGGTTCATTAAGCTAGACTTTGGTAGAGCCCCTTCTTTGGTCTGTTGTCAGTGCCCTATCTGGGGTGAATAAGTTAGTTCATGTCCCCTCAGGAAAAGTCACACAAGTGTGTTACACTCTTTGCTCCCCAGCACTCTGACAAGTTCACTATCTGACTGGAGTTTGAACGCACCATCCACCTTTCCCCGAATGCAATGGGTTCCCACCTTGGTAAGTGTAAAGCCAAGATAAACACAGTTAAGACACAGACAAGTGGGGAAAGGTGTATCACTACCTACAGCAGGCAAAGAGAGGTTGGGGTCATTTCCAAAGCAATGCTCTCTGAACAAAACCATGGACACTCTATTCAGGGGTCTGCTTACTTATATAAGGATCTGCATGCACGGTTAAGGAGTACTTTCCTGGGCATGCCTAGTTTAAAATTATAATTTAAAAATAAAAAATAGTCGACACACTTTTTGAGCATGCTTAGCCCAAAGTCATGAAACACATATGTAAAAGATTAAAAAATATTTTATGGGGCTGGAGAGATGGCTCAGCGGTTAGGAACACTGGTGGTTCTTGCAGAAGACCCGACTTCGAATCCCAGCACATGGCAGCTAACAACTGTCTGTAACTCCAGTTCCAGGGCATCCGACAGCCTCTTCTGTCCTCCACGGGCACTGCATGACAAGGGTGTACTTACCTACATGTAGGCAATACACGCATACACATAAAATAAAAACTTATGTGTATGCGTGTATTGCCTACATGTCAAAGGGTGTTGGATTCCCCTGGAGCTGAAGTTATGGCCAGTTCTTAGCCACAATGTGGGTGCTGGGAATTGAACCCAGTTTCTCTGCAAGAGCAGCCAGTGCTCTTAACTGCTGAGCCATCTCTCCAGCCTCCATGTAAAAGATTAAGTGAGGCTGGAGAAGTAGCTCGGCAGGTTAAGGATCTTGCTGTCAAGCCTGGCGACCTGAGTTTGGTCCCTGGACTCTACAGTAGAAAGAGAACAGACTTCCAAAAGTTGTCCTCTGAGCCGGTATGGTGGCTCACACCTTTAATCCCAGCACTTGCAGGAGGCAGAGGCAGGCAGATCTCTGAGTTCAAGGCCAGCCTGGTCTACACAGTGAGTTCTAGGCCAGCTGGGGCTACGAGGAGACCCTGTCTCAAAAAGGCAAAAAAAAGTTGTCCTCTGACCTCCACTGGCACTCACAACAAATAAGTGCAATTTATTTTTAAATTTAAAATTAAGGAAAAAATAAGATTAAAATGATGGAAAAAAATGCCTCTGGACATGCTCAGCTTGGACCATAAAGTTTTAGCTGAAAATAAAGGAAATAAAGGAAAGGAGCTCTGGGATGCACACTGACACAGGAGTCTGCCTCTGAAGGTGCCACCTTCGTCTTTTTTTTTTTTTTTTTTTTTTTTTTTTTTTTGTCTTCTTGAGACAGGCTCTCCCTTGTAGCCCCAGCTATCCTGGAACTCACCATGTAGACCAGGCTGGCCTTGAACTCACAGAGATCGCCTGCCTCTGCCTCCCAAGTGCTGGGACTACAGGTGTGCGTCACCATGCCCTGCCTGCCTTAGTCTTTAACATACCCAACTATGACGCCAGCCTGGGAAGGCACCAACACCTGCCTCATGTACCCATGACAGCACACAGTGACAGCACACAGGGCAGCCGTTGACCAGTTCCTTACCGGCAGGCACTTGGCTCCCCCGATGGAGATCAACCCAGCCATGAGGCCCAGTACCATGGCGATCCAAGGAGAACTAATCAGGTGACAGGAAGCACCCACAGCCACGCCTCCTGCCAGTACTGCATTGTGGATGTGAACCTGCCAAGAAACAGCTTGTGGGTGGATGAAGTGAGGCTCAGAGAGGAAACCTTCTCTCTCACAGCCTTCTCAGCACACTGACAGTGAAGCACCTTGCAATATCCTTCCTGATTCCTAGATCCTCAAGCCATTTTTCTCCTGGGACCAGATGACCTTCACCCGTGGGCGCCCTCCCAAGCTCAGGGAACAGCCATCCTGATGCCAGCATCCTAGCCCCCTCTCAGGTGTGTTAGTGACCTGCCCTTGGGCACTAAGAATAGAGTTTCAAATGTGGTATTTCAAGCTTGGAATATCAGCATTCAGGAGTCTAAGGCAGGAGGAGCTAGAGTTGAAGGTAACTCAAGTTAGGTAAGATTCTGTCTTTAGCTGGGCCTGGTGGTGCAGGCCTTTAATCTGAGCATTCGGGAGGCAGAGGCAGGCAGATCTCTGTGAGTTCAAGGCCAGCCTGGTCTACATAGTGAGTTCCAGGACAGCTGGGGCTACAGGGAGACCCTGTCTCAAAAAGACCAAAAAAAAAAAAAAAATTGAAAACTCAAGAAGCAGAGGTAGTGGATCATCTGGTCTTTATAGTGAGTTCAGGCACATAGTGAGACACTGTCAAGAAAAGAAAGAGAGAGAGGGAGGGAAGGAGGGAGGGAGGGAGGGAGAGAGAAAGAGAAGAAAGAAAGAAAGAAAGAAAGAAAGAAAGAAAGAAAGAAAGAAAGAAAGAAAGAAAGAAAGAAGATGGAGAGCAATTGAGATGGATAGCCAGCATTGATCTCTGGCCCCCACAAGTGCACACATAGGCACACACGTGCACAATCAGGAGTATATCACATATACACACAGTCACACACACAAACATAAGAAAAAAAAGCCAGCCCAGTGTGGTAGTACATGTCTTTAATCCCAGCACTCGGGAGGCAGACGCAGGCAGATCTCTGTGAGTTCAAGGTCAGCCTGATCTACATATTGAGTTCCAGGACAGCTGGGGCTACAGGGAGACCCTGTCTCAAAAAGACAAAAAAAAAGAAAAGAAAGAGAAAAAGAAAAAAAATCTTAGACAAAGGGTCTTGCATAGAATTAAAAAGTTAAAAAGCAGGGTTTGTATTACTCTTGCCTCTAGGGTTTTGGGTTTTCAGGTTTTTTTTTTTTTGTTTTGTTTTTTTTTTGTCTTTATGAGACAGGGACACCCTGAAGTCCCAGCTGGCCTGGCACTTGCTATTATGTAGACCAGGCTAGCCTCGAACTCACAGGGTTCCGCCTGTCTCTGCCTCCTGAGTGCTAGGATTAAAGGAATGTGTCACCACACCCAGCTAACTTTGGGGTCTTTTAATATTTCAGTTATTGTTTTTACTTTATGTGTATGAGTGTATTGCCTGCATGTATGTAAGTGCACCTGTGTCCTGCAATGCCCATGGAGGTCAGAAGAGGGCTTCAGATCCCCTGGAACTGGAGTTACAGACAGTTGTTAGCTACCATGTGGGTGCTGGGAATCAAACCTGAGTCCTCTGCAAGAGCAGCCAGTGCTCTTAACCACTGAGCCATCTCTCCAGCCCCCTGTTTTTTTTTTTAATTTTATTGAATAATTTAAACATGTTAAATTTATGTGTACATGTGTGAGCCTTTGTGAGTATATGTGTACCATGTTTATGCAGGAGCCTGCAGAGGCCTGAAGAGGGCATAGGATCCCCTGAAACTGGAGTTATAGTTGGTTGTAAGTCACCACGTACGTGCTGGGAATCAACCCCTGGTCTTCTGCAAGAGCAGCAAGTGCTCTTAACCTCAGAACCACCTCTCCAGTCCAGGACTTTTTATTTATTTATTTATTATTTATTTATTTATTTAATTTTATTTACTATTTTTATTTTATGTGTATGCATGTATTGTCTGCATGTAGGTGAGTGCACCCCGTGTCGTGCAATGCCTGTGAGGACAGAAAAGACTGTCTGATCCCCTGGAACTGGAGTTACATCCCCTGGAACTGGGGTTAAGAACAGTTGTTAGCTGCTTAGCTGCCATGGGTGCTGGGATACGAACCTGGGTCTTCTGCAAGAACAACCAGTGTTCTTAACCGCTGAGCCATCTCTCCAGCCCCCAAAATATTTTATTTTTAATTATATATATGGGGGGTGTTATGCTTAAGTGTGCAGTGCCTGAGGAGGCCAGAAGAGGGCATGGAGTTGGAGTTACAGGCAGTTGTAAATTGCCCGAATGTAGGTACTGGAGTCAAATTCAGATCCTCTGCAAGAGTAGTATATACTCTTAACCACAAGGCCATCTCGATAACCTTAGATATTTTTGGTTTTTTATTTTATTTTTACTTTATGTGTACAGATGTTTTGCCTGTACATCTGTGAACATCTGTGTCCTGCAATGCACATAGAGGCCAGAAGAGGGCTTTGGATCACCTGAAACTGAAGTTATAGATGGTTGTTAGCCGCACTGTGCCCAGTTTATGCTGGGCTGGAGTTTGAATTCAAGGCCTCATGCATGCTAGACAAGCACTCTGACACTCTACCATCTGAGCAACATCCCCAGCCCAGGACCTACATTCATACATATTCTCTCTCTCTCTCTCTCTCTCTCTCTCTCTCTCTTTCTCTCTCTCTCTCTCTCCTCTCTCTCTCTCTGGGTCTCACTATGTAGCTCTGACTGACCTGAAACTTTCTGCATAAACCATGTTGATCTCAAACTCCTAGAGAAATCCACCTGCTTCTGCCATCTGAGTGCTGGCATTAAAGGTGTGTGCCATCACACCCTACCATGTATTATCTCTTAATTCCCACTTGACAGATGCAACCACTGAGGTTCAAAATATTGATGTGTCTTGAACAGTGTTATCTAACTAGCATAACTTTTTTTTTTAACTTCTGATTGTAATTTCATTCTTGAAATTTCTTGGGGGAAGAGGAAAGGCTGGCTAATTCTATTCCATTCTGCTCTTGTGATGTCTTTAACAATTAGCAGAAATGAGGCCGGGCGTGGTGGCGCACGCCTTTAGTTTAAGGCCAGCCTGGTCTACATAGTGAGCTCCAGGCCAGCTGGGACTACAGGGAGACCCTGTCTCAAAAAGACCAAAAAAAAAAAAAAAATTAGCAGAAATGGAGTCCACACTCAGATCTGTGTGGTATTATCATTGATGAATTTAAATTTTTAAAAAATTTTATGTGTATGCGTGTATTGCCTACATGTAGGTAAGTGCACCCGTGTCATGCAGTGCCTGTGGACGTCAGAAGAGGCTGTCAGATCCCCTGAGACAGGAGTTATGGACAGTTGTTAGCTGCCATGTGGGTGCTGGGATTTGAACCCGGGTCTTCTGCAAGAACAATTTAATTGCTGAGCCATCTCTCCAGCCCAGCATTAATGAATTTAGTCACCCCTGCCCACAGTCCCCAAGACAGACTGTGACAGTCTTGTGATGTTCCCTGATACTGCAGGCAAAGAAGGGTCCATCATCTCGTGGTATTTACCCACCGATAGGCTAGCCCTGAGGGAGAGCCTCAGACATTGTGGTAGGCTCCTTACACACAAGTGCTGCCCTAAGAGGCAGTCCTCTCCTCACCATGTTGATCCTCCCTTGGGGGTGGGACAGGGCTGACACTGAGGTGGCTGTCACTGTGCTGACCGCCAGGGCATAGTATGTGTTGAACACAGCCTTCTTCTTCTCACTTGGGACGTCCACCAGAGCAGAGTTGAAACTTGGCCAGAATATCCATAAGAAGAGGGTGCCTGGGGACCAGAGGGAGTCATTAGCCAGAACCACACTCCTCCTCCCAATTCCTGACCCTCTGGGACCTCAGAGGAGGAGAGTTCTGGAGCTAGCAAGTCATCCTGGTCATTTTCCAGCTGTGTGATTGGGCAGTCACCTCTTCCCTCCAAAGTCTCAGGTTGGTAGGGACCAGTCAACACATTTTCCAGACAAGGAAAGTAAGGTCCAGATCTCTGAAGTCTACAAACCTGGGCCTTCTGACTTTGTTCTGTGACAGGGTCTCCCTGTATCCCCAGCTGTCCTGGAACTCGCTATGTAGACCAGGCTGGCCTTGAACTCACAGACATCTGCCTGACTCTGCCTCCTGAGTTCTGGGATTAAAGGCGTGCGCCACCACACCCGGCAAGTGCTTATTTTTAAAATCCAAGCCATGCATAGTGGCTCATGTCTGTTACACCAGCACTTACTTGGGAAGTTGAGGCAGGAGAATTGCAGTGAGTTCAATGCCAGTCTACATAGTAAGTTTCAGGCCTGTCAGACCATCTCAAAAGAAAAAAAAAAAAGGTTTGTTTTGTTTTGTTTTTAGCAAGGGGAGATCTGCCCTGCTGAGGACTTCCGATCACTTGGGCCTTGCACACATACCCCCGCCCCAAGCCTTTAATAAAGTGGTTTAACCCTAGGGAAAAAAAAAAAGTTTATAGTGCCCTATGCCTTTAATCCTAGCACTTGGGAGGCAGACAGAGGTGGATCTCTGTGAGTTCGAGGTCAGCCTGGTCTGCCTAGTGAGTTCCAGGATAGCTGGGGCTACAGGGAGACCCTATCTCAAAAAAGACAAAAAAAAAAAAAAGCTTAGTGTGCTGCTTTCCCTGGGCTCTACCAGCCTGAAACACTCACCTGCTGTCCAGCTCCCGTCTGAGTTCCTGTCAGCTGCTCTTAGCTGTCCTGGATCACCACAGCCTTATTACTGTTCTCTCTCTACCCATCACCACTTGTAGACCCTTGTGCTGGGTAGCTTTAGTGTCAACTTGACACACCTGGGTTGAGGGAGCCTCAGTTGGGGAATTTCCTCTATTGGACTGGCCTGTGGCCATGTCTGAAGGGCATCTTCTTGATGAGTGATGTGGGAGGGCCCAGCCCACTGTGGGTGGTGCCACCCCTGAGCAGGTGGGCCTGTGTTGCATAAGAAAGCAGGCTGAACTTGGACCAGGGGAGCAAGCCAGTAAGCCGTGTTCCTCCATGGCCTGTGCTCCAGCTCCTGCCTCCAGGTTCCTGCCCTGAGTTCCTACCTTGGGCTCCCTGATGAACTGCG